CCGCATGCACCGGCTCGCATTTGACACTACTACTTTTCTGGAGTTGTGGAGGGAGTGTCAATCGTTTTTGAACGACCTAAAGTAGTAAGAGCAGTAACAGTGGTTAAGATGAGGAGCCTGAGTAAGACTATGTAGAGGCTTTATGTATTTATATTACAGCTTTTATACTAAGCATGTAAGTGTGGATACATATTTTATTTTTTCATAAAACAGTCCATAATTGTATCATACATGAAATAAATTAAATACTCATGGATTTGGAATAGTTATCTGCTGTGTTTATGATCGATTTATTTCTATTAAATAAGATGTATATTCACAGAATTACTGGGTTTATGGACTTTTTCCATTGTCTGAAATTCTAGTAATAGAGGACACTCTAGGTATTAGAGGACACAACATTTTGGAAACTGGATCCAGTTTCTGACATGTCATTTTCTCTAATACCTAGAGTGTTCTCTGTTACCTAGAATTCTGGACGATGGAAAAAGTACAAAATCCCAGTAATCCTGTGTGTCATCCACCATTGTCAGGACCCTTTAGAATCCAATGTGTATATTATTGACTGTTATTATTAACAGGAAACCATCCATTAAATTAAATGGCCAAACAGGCAAACAGACCTTAATATTGTCATGATTTAGAGGTGACTATAGATGGGGTTTGGATTAGAGAATGCCTTTATTGACCACTTATACACATGACTAAGAACTACAAGCGATTACAGTGCCACAACTAATCTACATAATTCACAAATCAACACGCTACCCTGTAGGACTTTTCCAACCTGCTTTGTCTTCCTAGACTTTCCCTGGCAGTGGCTTCCTTAGCTTCATGTGCTCAGGTCCTGTCTTCACAGCCTCCCATGCAGAACTGAACTCTCAACCGACAACTGAACTCATTGCTCCGGCTGTCCTGGTTATAACATCTCAGCACAGACCACATAGAAAATAGCGTTATTCTGTTGTTGCATTTGTGTCCATTGCTGCAGGAACATATTTACCTAGCCATTGCCCAGAAACGGTTATTTGCCTATCTTGCAGTCATTGCATAGCAGTGACTACATGCTACAATGTTGTGGTCTTCTAGGTTATAGTACTCATGTAGTGAGTGGATACAAATATTTTCAGAAGGTGGGTCCTTGTCACCATGGCATGGCACATCCTCAGGTTGCGGGTGGAGGAATTCTGCGAAAGTATTGAATAAGCAGTCACGGACAGCCGACAAGGGGTGGTCCTCCAGCTTGGGGGTTGGGCATGGGGCTAAAACTCCTCAGCATAACAAATAAGCCTGCTATGAAAATGAACAAAAAGCCTTGGACCTGGGCAGATTCTCTGGATAAACAACCTAGGGTAAAGAAAATGGACGTGAGATTCAGTGCTTGGATTGTCAGAAGTGATATTCGAGAGATAGGATGGGATGGTATGGATTGGATTGATCTGGCTCAGAATAGGGACCAGTGGAGGGCTCTTGTGAACATGGTAATGAACCTTTGGGTTCCATAAAATGCTGGGAAATTCTTGAGTAGCTGCAGAATTGGCGACTCCTCAAGAAGGGCGCAGCTCCATGAGTTAATTATATACTGCATTGGCCTTGAAGATGGAGGAAGTATGTTTTCCATAACACTGCTTTCCAGCATAATTGTTGTCCGGTATTATTAAATGGAAACTTGTGAATTTAATTAAATAGCTAAACAAGATAAATTATGTGCAAATATTATGTTTCTGGACGTCATCCATCGCCCAATTTTTATCTAAAAACACTGTCCTATTTATTTTTCAAAACAACGTTTCAGAGACTGGATTCTGTTCCTGGTTTCAGGTAAAACCTACTTCGTTGGGCCCAATCAATAGATCTAGTCCCTCTCCCTGGTCCAGAGAGGAGATAGGGACAAGCTCTATTAACTGGGCCAAACTTAGTAGGTTTTACCTGAAGATAGAGAGAGAATCCAGTCTCCAAAATGTTGTGTTTTGAAAAATAAACAGGACAGTTTTTAGATGAAAAGAGGACGATAGATAATGTACAGAGGCATAATATTTGTACTAATATACCGTCGTTACAAACTTTTAGAACTTATTAAGATAAATTTGATTTGTTTCATTCTGGTCCGTCACACTAACAATATTACAAATGATAAAACAGTTCCATCCAGTGTGACTGTTGAAGCTTTTACTACTTCACTTCTTAGCACCCTAGCATGTTTCTGTCCCTATAGACCATCATCAGAGATAACATCAATACTTTTAGAAACTACTATTACATTGGATGTTTTGATTTTTGAAATACATAAATATACAATATTTGTAATAAACACTTTATATAAAATCCAAATTTCTTACAACCACAGCAACTGTCCTTGATGCATTAAAGTTTTTTTTAAAACTTTTTGTTATTTAAGTTAAAGTTAAAATTCTGAAAACGTTTTTAGAATGATATACTGCCTTCTTCCTCAATAAGGGGGCAGTATATTCCTCAAAAACGTTGGTTTCCACCTACCAGAATGTATAATGTCATCCCAAAAGACCACAATATGAATGTTACATATATTACTGTGAAGACCTCATATCTTATATCAGATAAGAAACCATTTTTAAGTTGGATAATGTGTTTCTAGTTAAGTTGAGAAATCACCACATAGCAACATAATGTGTGGCATTTCTACAAAATAAAACTTTGATGGAGACACAGTTTTAAATAGAATGCAGCTTATACCATGAACTAGGTATAAGCCATAGCCAGAGTAAGTTCATAGCAGTCTCTTATCTGAAAATAAATAAAAATTCAAGCTACAGTGAAAGATTTTTTCGTTTTTTTTTTAATATGACAATAAAATGGGGATGGGGGTGACAGATGTTTGCATAGAGATATTACTACATCACCAAAGAAGTGGAGAATGCAGGGATCAAAACATCTCATCAGTCCCGTTACAAATAATAATGTTGCATCAAGTCATTCTCTGTGAAGTTGCTTAGAACACTTGCCTCCATCAATAGAACATTCTGGGCTTGGTGTCTGTTTTTGCAATATTGTACATTTTGTCTGTGGCCATGAAGGTCATATGTTTATGGTGAAGGATATAGAACAGAAACCTGCAGAGTGAAATATGGCTGGAAACTGTACTGATCAAAGTTTTAATAGTTACATATTAGTGTTGTAGAGTCCTGACAAACACCGTTTGTTTTGTGAGGAACTTGTAACTGGTAAATTTCAAAATGACCTAGTTTAGATTTGGTACTAGAAAGTGTGGTGATATGAAGCAATAAAGTATTGTTTTTTAAGCTTATTTATGTAAGAAAATTTATGAGGATCAGTGAAATGTTACTTTCTCTGCAGAGTCTTTCATACAGAATTACTGTATAACATGGTTTACTTATATGATTAAAATGTGTAAGAACGGAGACTGCCTTATTAAAAAAAAACGTAGGCTTTTGTGATCACCATGCTCTCTATGTACGAGGGGGGACCCAAAAATAACCGGAACCGACCTGTTGCGCGCGCATGCTTTGTAGTTACGAGTTGTACTGCTAGGTGGTGTTAGCTGGGGGTCTCCCACGACTGTTAGTGAGCTGGCGTCAGTCTGAGTTAAGTGGTTTGTCTGTGGTTCTCTGTTGTGTGCGTTCCTGTTTCAACCCTTTGGCGATTAGTGAGATGGCCGACGAGAAGGAACAAAGAGTGTGCGTGAAATTTTGCTTTCTGTTAGGGAAAACTGCAGCTGAGACTGTTGGGATGCTTCGGCAAGCCTTTAATGATGATGCTTTGGGGAAATCACAGGTCTACGAGTGGTTTTCCCATTTCAAATCTGGCAACATGTCAACAGAAGACATGCCACGTCCCGGGCGTCCTTCGACAGGAAGAAATGACGAAAACATTGCCAAAATCAAACGTGCAATTGATGAAGATCGTCGAAAGACCATTGACCAACTTTCTGAGGAAACGAACATCTCATGGAGCACGGTCCAGCGAATTTTAACCGAAGGTTTGCACATGAGACGGGTGTCTGCAAAATTTGTTCCTCGCTTGCTCGGAGATGACCAAAGAGAAAACCGCGTGAATGTTTGCCGCGACTTGAAGAGTGAAGTGCAGTTTTCCCTAACAGAAAGCAAAATTTCACGCACACTCTTTGTTCCTTCTGGTCGGCCATCTCACTAATCGCCAAAGGGTTGAAACAGGAACGCACACAACAGAGCACCACAGACAAACCACTTAACTCAGACTGACGCCAGCTCACTAACAATCGCGGGAGACCCCCAGCTAACACCACCTAGCAGCACAACTCATAACTACAAAGCATGCGCGCGCAACAGGTCGGTTCCTGTTATTTTGGTTCCCCCTTCGTATGTGTGCATTTCTCCTCGGTTTAAATTTTGGACCAGTTGATTAATTTTTGTCAAACTTGGTATGAATGTTATTCCAATGGAGGCCAACTGAATGCCTAATTGTTATTGTTCTGTAATCAGTAATAATAACATGGCAGATGTGTGAACTTGTGAGGTGGGAGTGATACTAGTACCATTTATTTTAGCGTCCTGAAATTATGTGTGGTGATAGATGTTGGAAAAGTTCACAGGTTTATTAAAGTAATATTTATGTAGAATGTAAAATAACATGGTGGTCATGGGGAAATTTTCTTTGGCTTATAGTATGAGTGTGATAACTAATGAAACAGTGGAACTAGGCACATAACATTTGGTATGGGGACAGACCATAAACATTTCTATGTATTATGTATGAAATATTGTTTGAATACCAACAATTACAAATATGAGGGTAAAATTCTGAAATTATATCTGACAGATTTAATGTATAAGGCATTCAAAATATAACAGTAACAATAAGAAAATAATAATGGATATGTTGGACTGGATATCTGTGCAGCGCGAGAGTAGGCTTTGTAAGTTCTGCTCAGAATTCCTTGTTATGTTTAATTTAAAGTCTACAGAATTATGGAAACATATTATTAATTACATATGTATATTTTCACACAATTTTGTGATTTATAGGTCGCATTTCTCTGCAAAGGACGAAATAGAGACAGCAAAGGTAACACTTCCAGCAGTTCATCAGTGTGCCTTGAAAAAGTCTGAGATCTGTCAGCACTTGAAACATGAAGCTTATAAGAACTGTCCTTCTCCAATGACAGTGCAATGGAAGAAATTTATTTGGAAAGTATGATTCCTTTTATCTTTGAAAAACGTTTCTGTATGTTTAATATTTATTTATGTTAATGGAAGAATACTTTGATACTGCAACATAGAAAAGAAAATGAACACAATATTCCTTCAACAGGCAAGACAGCGATATGAATCAAAATTTGAAAATATTTTACTGCATTGTATACTGTGCCTTTTGTATTCAGTCTATGGAACCAATCAAAGTCAATCAGTGGTAAACCAAATAAGTATCAGCGCTTACAGTCGCCCTCCATGTTCATGAATTTATTATTCATTCCAGGCAATTTATTATCACAAATTCTCTTTGAAATTATCCCTTGGTACTTCTTCATAAGCTTCACACAACTTCTCAGAACATAACCTGTACATGTCATAACATGATAGTTTCTCTATGCCTGACTGTTATATTGGAAAGTATGGAATTTGTATTATGCTGGGAATGCGTCCCTAACAAATAAGGGGTACACTTATGCTTATATTAGTATAACTGCTTTAATGTTCACCTTAATACATATTTGATTTGTTCCATAAAATGCTGGAAAATTCTTGACAGCTGCAGAATTGGCAGCCCCTCAAGAAGGGCTCAGCTCCATGAGTAAGTAAAATTCACTTAGTAGGGGGTGGAGTCTAACTGGGCCCACTCTGCACGGCAGCCACTGATTGGCCTATTGTAGCCTGACCCAGGTGATTATGATGATGGAGAATTTGGTGGAATGAAGATTGGCAGGGGAAACTGAAGTACTCAGAGAGAACCTGCCCCAGCGCCACTTTGTCCACCACAAATCTCACTTGCCCAGACCTGGGATCGAACCCGGGCTGCTGCGGTGGAAGCCAGCGACTAACCGCTTGAGCTATGGCACAGTCACAGGTAAGTAAGTAAGTAAGTAAGTGTAACAGCTGTAACTGTGTAAGTACTTGTTCTGTATCCATTATTTAATTTACATTCCTTCATGTGTAATTCCATACCAAATCATCAGATATGGTGTGCATTGCCATCTCTGATTTTGATAATAAATATATTTTGTAGTGCATTAACCCCCTTCCCTAACCTCAGGTCTACTTGCATAAATTATTTTGAGAACAAAATTATGCTATAGTTTGAGATGTAAATATTTTAGAATATCTGAATGTTGCAAATATGTGGAATTACAGTTTTCATCCGCAGACCTTGAGCAAACATTTCACAATCTGGTGAAACTTAGTGTCAAAACCCATTGTATTACTTTGTAGTAGTATTCTCAAAAGCATTATTGTCAGTTTCAGTTATTATGTTTTGAGTTCAAGTTTTGTAGAAAACAGAATGCTTACCATACAGCTTAAGTAGATAAGTTTGTGCACTCTTTTTAGAGGACTGTAGAAACCTTTAAAATTTTTATTGCTAGTCAGTCAGGTCTGTTAATAATTGAATGCTTGTATATTTAAAGATGATGACATTGCTCTATGTGAATCTAAGTGGGCATATAGACCTTATGGGTGCACATAGCTGTGCATCAAATTTTAAGAAAATCTTTAACAATACATATTTTAGATTACTATTAAATATTGAATGTTCTAGCAATAGTAATCCTTCTATGAGGAAATTTAAATCCTGCAGCATACTGAATTTTTAATTGCCATTTTAATTTCTGCACTAAAATTTTGAAATTGATATAACTTTCAATCTATATGTGGAAAAATATAGAATTATCACTGAAATTTCACATAAGGCTGTGTGGGAACCTCCCACAGTGCATAGCAGACAACCCCCACAGTGTAGCAAAAGCAGGCGATATTTATATGCTACAGCCTGTGACCTGTTTCTCTGACATCCACACAAGCGCTACCCAGTCAGCGCTCATATCTGCAGCACCATCACCAAGTAGTCCACGCTCTGCCTAGTGACAGTGGTATAAAAATGCGGGCCTCCTACAGGCTATCATCAGTCACATCAGTCACCGCTACCCTGCCATCAAGAGATCAACACAACAGCTGACTCTGGCAGTGTACACACTGTAGGCCTGCCATCCAGCCAGACTTGCTGCTTTCCTGCCAGCTCAGAGTCAGCAAACTGCAGCGAAAGAAGAACGTTGGGCTGCTGTAAGGAAGCACGCCATGCTGGCTGGCTTGCTGCAATTAAGGCTTGAGACAGACAGTGCTTTTAGGGCCTCCAATAGCACCATCATCACTAGATCAGGATTGCTGCTATGAAGTTACTATTCACCGGTATTATTCAGACATGCTCCCCCCTCATCTGTAGTACCCACTTTAAGGGAAATAAACATATATTGTTATAGTTTTATGTTGTTGTCTCTTCCAGCATCGATATCCCACAATTGATGCATAATCTAACATTATTAGTAGTGCAGTATGTATGTGGGGCAATCGAAAAGTTTCTGAAATTAGAATTTTGCTCCCGAATGGTTATTAGTACATTGAAATACCGCTAGGTGTCTCCTCACACATCCTTCTTGAATCAGTGTGGCAAGCGGCATCGAGTTGAGTGATTGGTTTTATTGTTGGTGAACGTATTTCCATTGTTGTGTTTCCGTGAGTTTGCGGTTTTGTGATGGCTGACCTGAGAGCAGCGTGTCTGTATAAAGTTTTGTTTCAAACTTGGGAAAACTGCTGCAGAAACGCACCAAATGTTGAAGCAAGCTTTTGGTGAAAACAGTTTAGGCCAGACACAAACTTACAACCGGTATAAGCGTTTTAAAAATGGCCGAACATTGACTGATGATGATGATCGTTCGGGACGGCCGTCAACTGGCACCACACCAGAAAGTTAGTGATCTGATTGTGCAAGATCGTAGACTGACCATCCAAGACCTCTGTAACACCTTGGAACTAAGTTACAGTACATGTCAACGAATTTTGTCAGAGGAACTGAACATGAGGAGGATTGCGGCGTAGTTTGTGCCACGACTGCTGCAAAATGAACAGAAGCAGCATCGCTTGGAAGTCTGTAGGGAACTTCAGCAACAGCTTCAAGAGGATCCNCAGACGGTACTAAACACCCTAACAAAGAAAGACTTCCAGGATGCATTTGGAAAGTGACAGAAACACTGGGATCAGTGTGTGCACTCCCAAGGGGACTACTTTGCAGGTGATGGTGCAGAATAAGATCTAGGTAAGATGTAATAGTTTTTATTAATATATTTCAGGAACTTTTGTATTGCACCACGTATGTTATGTATGTTATACAGGGTGGGGTGCAGAAACTTCCTTTTTTTTGAAGGCGAATAAAAGAAAAATTATTGCTGGTAGACAAAATTTATGTTTAGCTAATGAAAGAATATACTTTAAAGTTTTAAATCATGTAGTTTTAAACAAAATATCTTGAAGGTGGTGGCCACCATTCTATATGCACTGATGCAACCGTTTTCTGAAGCTCCCCTCTGCACATTCCAATATGTGCACTGGAATTTGGCCTACTTCCTGCCTAATAACTTTCTTCAGCTGAAGCAGGTTTGTGGGGCGATATTTAAAAACCTCTGCCTTGAGGTATCTCCATAAAAGAAAATCACAGGGCATTAGATCAGGTGAGTGCGCTGCCCACAGGAAGTCACCTCGAAGCGAGATGAGCCATCCAGGGAACTTTGCCCTCAAAACTGTCATTGAAGCTCGGGCTGTGTGGGCTGTGGCACCATCCTGTTGGAACCAGACATTTCCTAGATGCA